ATGATATGTTGATTGCTGTCAAGAGCAAAAAAGAAATCACTACGTTGAAGAAACTGTTGAGCAGTGAGTTTGAGATGAAGGATCTTGGTGCTGCTAAGAAGATTCTAGGTATGAAAATTACAAGAGACAGAAATTCTGGTTTGTTATTTCTTAGTCAGCAAAGTTACATTAAGAAAGTTCTTCATCGTTTCAACATGCATGATGCAAAGTCTGTTAGTACTCCTATTGCTCCTCATTTCAAATTATCAGCTTTACAATGTACTAGTACGGATGGGGATTTTGAGTACATGTCAAGAGTTCTATATTCTAGTGTTGTTGGTTCTTTGATGTATGCCATAATTTGCTCTCGTCCTAATTTATCATATGTTATGAGTTTGGTTAGTAGATACATGGCTAATCAAGCTTAGTTGGTATAACTGTTTAGTCTAAAAGGCTATTTTGGCACCAGAATTATTTCTTTGTTGTTTTAGGATGAAGGTTTATTTTATGCTATGAGAAAGAATTTGTCTTAAGGTGGAGCTTGTTGAGCTATGATCCAAATTCAAGCTTTTGGACCGAAGCGAAATGATCCATTAGCGTTAAGAGAGACTAGACCATCTATTAGTTTCGTATTGCTAATAGACAAGGGTGTGGAGTTTTTCCTCCCTATATATACTTCATGTAAGCCGTCGTCTTGGAATAAGAAAAGTTGTAAATCTCTGATTTTGGTAACCTCACCTAATATAATGAAGATTTATTAGCTGGTGCCGTGGTTTTTTTCCTTTCTTTCCACATTAAAATCTCATATTTTCTGTGCTCGATCTATTGTTCTTCGTTGCCTATCCTTTCTTACAGGAGCCGGTGCCGCGACGAGCATCTTCACGGGCGCAGGGGCCACAGCGCCACAGCCTCTTGTGCCTCAGCAGTGGGTGTCGCTGCGGGTGTCTTGGGCTTTTGGCCAGCGCCGCCGCGGGAGATGGTTGCCTCGGCAGTGGGAGTCGGCGGCGCCGCTGCCGGATTCACCGCGGGTGTGGCAGCCTGGCAGGGACGCGGAGGAGGTTGGAACGGATCGGAGCACGCAGGCCGAGGAGCCGAGGACGGCGGCGGCGGTGTTGATTTTTTTGCGACTCCGTGACGAGATGCCGCTGGGAGCGGAGGGGTAATGGATTTCTACTGGGCTGTATCCGTTCACGCTGCAATTGATTACTGTTGGGTCCATCCAAACACCAAGCAATGTAACCCAATTACTCCGTGAATCGTTGACGTGCAAAAAATGCGGAACCAAACAGCACCTTAATTCCGAATGCAGTGCAGGTTAGAGGTCTGTAAATTTTGCACAGATTGGAATCCAAGGCCAGACCAAAACTGAACTGCAGAGCAAGCTGGGGAGTCGATGATTCTTTTTCGATGTAAGTTGGAGCCCGCACTGGATTCTTCCTTTGATTATAAGCCATACAAAGAGCTGGACCCTTGGCGGGGCTGCATTCCTCTTCCTCCAAATGAAGATTGACGCTGGATCATTGGGCTGTCCCTTGGCCTTGAGGAGCCTGTAGATGGACGATGTGTCTAGCTTGTCCGACGTTCTACTGAAGGGTGATAGCCTTCTGTCCGGCCGATCAGAGAGTTGGATCTGAAGGACGATATCTTCAACCTGGAGGAGCTCATGCTGGGCTTGAGGGGATGCACATTTTGCTCGCAAGAAGTGGAAACTTGAGACCACCTAGTAGCTCGGTTGTGTTTACTCCAGAGAGGTTTGGTGCAGGGTGCTCAGTGCTCACTGCCCCGCGTCTGCCAATCCAGGCCCTTCACTTGTGCTTCTTGTGACCTGGCCGGTCTGGTGCGAGCGCAACAGGAGAGTTTTCCAGGGGGTCATCCGTCCACCGCAACTACTGCATGGAGCAAATCCTCGGAAGAAGGCGGCGTCTGGCACTCTCTGGCTGCAGGCCGGATTCCCTGCACTGGCCGCGTTGCTTGCTGCTGTGCAGGATTAGCAATGCCTATGTGCTCCAAGCTGGAGTCATTTCTTCTGCACATGCGCATGTTGCAAAGCGTTTATTAATTTGGCTTAAAGCATCTCGCCCCTACTTATTAAGGGACTCTTTGGTATGGCTTATGCCGGCTTCGGCTTCATCTATTTTACACAAATCGAGGCATTGTAGCGTGAAGCCGTTTTGTAAGCCGGGGTTAAAATGAACTAGAAGCTGGAAAAAACCAGTTTTTCTAGCTTCACCGGTGAAGCCGTTTTGGATGAGCCATGCCAAGGGGGCTTAAAAGGCACGTGTTCAAGCGAAAGAGAATGAAAAAGACACGCCGATCAGACTAAGACAAGTTAAGCTGTATGCGCACACCACAAACCACTACTACCGTTACAGTAACACACGAATACAGGATCACAGGATGATGAGCACCGGCCGGTTTTTTTTGTTTCAATCCGCTCGATGGGTCGTCACGGACAAAAAATTCTGCCAGACAGAGACTGTCACCATGTTCGCTGATATTGAAATTTGGCTTATGTTAATATTTATATTAAAATATTATGAGAGAAAACATTGTTCCATATCTGAAAAGTAGCTCTGAATAAACTGTAACGAACGGGGCGTGCGTGCGGCGTTCTTCGGTGCCTAACCATGCCTGTGAACCTGCCGCGGACCCTTTTGCTGGAGAACATCTATCAGCGCGCGATAGAGCTGGGTGGCCAACAGACTGACCGATCGACCGTCTCCCGTGCAAGGGCGCCGGCGACCAGTCAAGCCGGAAAGGAACGGCACACACTGCTGCACGCTGCCCCTGCCGTGCCGCTGCCGCTGCCGCTGCGTCTGCGTACGTGTACGTCCCAATAATTGTGTGCTGCTGGCTGCTGGGTGCAGCAGGTGGTGGAGTGGTAGTTGCTCCTGGGGTTTAGCCGCTCAAAAGGTGTGGGAGAGCTTGGCGCAGCGCGTATATACTACAATAACGCGTTATGTTCATGTGTCGGTTCAGCAAAGGAGATCATCGCCGTATCTTTGCATTGCTGTGGGTATCATATCATATGTGCAACGTGACAGGGTTCCATGTACTATTATATTTGATGCAGTAGTAACATTATATATATGCAAATAATGGTAGCTATGCAGAAATATATTTTTCGTATAAAGCCCCACAGTGCCATTTGTGGATAGTCAAGATTACTATTATTATAATGAATTCAAGGCGAATATGATAGTATAGCAGCATGCATGCAAAGTGGTGTGGAGACTGGAATGGAACCTTACCTGAGTCTGACGTAAAAGGTGCAGCGGAAAGCGCGTGTGTTTTCCGTATACTACTACTCAATTCTCGTCATAAACTGCAGCGCAGATATCACTGTCGTCGGCATCGCAATCTGATCCGCGCGCTAGCCAATGTTTTCTTCACGCCAAGATTCCTCCGGACCGATAAGTTTAAGCGCACTCAAGAATAGGGCTGATAAGCCGGACTAACAAGTTCAATCTACCGCTGGAGTGACGGAGACTGTAGCCTGCCGGAGTCTGACGTAAAAGGTGCGGCGAAAGCGCATGTGTTTTCCGTAGTACTCATGCTCATTGTACGTCTCGTTCGCTGATATGAAATTTGGCTGAAACTGGCTGAAAATACTGTTCCGGTTAAATTGTTGTGAGAGAAAAACACTGTTCCGGCTGAAAAAAGAAGCCGAACAAGCCATTTTTAAGATAAACGAACGGGGCCATAAACTGCAGCGCAGAGATATGCCTGTCGGAATTGCGCAATCTGATCCGCGGCTAGGCTAGCCATTTTATTCATTCCTCCAGTTTGCTTGGCCTGCTGGTCCAATCCAAACAGCACTACAGGCACACAGCCAGTCTACAAAAATAACTGATGGTCTGCGCGCTGTTCTTCAATTTTGTTGGGATTAACCAACGCCTTCGTATTGTGCATATCGTCCCTAGTACATGCTAATGCATGCAACATGTTTCGCAGAGAACGTCTCCTCCATTTGCAGCCTGCGCACGACGCCTCCGCCTTGTTGACCAGTAGCTCCAAGAATCATGTGTTTTGAAGAGAGCGCTTGAGGTCTTGTTTAGATACGTATGTATCTAACTCAATCCACATATGTTAGAATGGATTAGAGTAAAACTTAGACCTCGTTCGCTGGTCTGAAACTGGCTGAAAAACACGGTTCCGGCTGAATTGTTATGAGAGAGAAACACTGTTCCGGCTGAAAAAAAAAGTCGAACAAGCCGAATATAAGGTAAGCCGAACAGGGCCTTTAATTCTACTTTAATCCACGTCAATATATATGGATTGAGGTAGATACATGGACATCAAACAAGTCCTGAGGTGGACTACCAAAGTTAGGCCTGTTTAAATTTAAGGAGCTAATTATTAGCTGCTAACTGATAGCTCTATGCCCCTATGTATCCACAAAGAACAGGGAGCTCAGATTGTCGAATTCAGGGGTGGGGGCGGTGTGTAAAGAACCTACGGTTGCTAAGAAGGGGTCGAAAGATTGAAGCATCAATTCTCTGGTGTCATCTTTTGATGATCGATAGAGGTAATGTAAAAGAAAAAAAAAAGAGGGATTTTTTCAGGCAACAGTAATAACTAATACTAGTATTCTCTCATGTGATCAACATAGCAACTACTACTAGCATGCTCCCTGTACACTCAAGATGCATCGCCTGAACGTTCAGGCGACTGAGAGGGAGGAAACGTGGAAAAAATTTTGATGAAGAAGAGAAACAGCTGATGAACTCAATCAGCCGAACAGCCCGGAATCCTGTTGCTGTGTTGCTTTGCTCTGGTACGGAGTCCTGTTGCTGTGTCAGAGTAGACTGCTACTAGTGACAGTACGTAATCCTGGTTGCTGCTACCGACTGGGGGAGAGAAAGCAAAAGTCGAGCATGTATATGCATTGCCGGTTCTCTGGAGCAAAGCTCATATGCAAAGGAGAAGGAAACAGGATCGCAGGCTCTATAGTCTATACACAGCAAAACCAAGAAGCGATGGGACAACCCCATCCCATAGGTCGATCAGTAGGTAGGTCATCAAATCTTGGCGTCGATGACGTCCGCTCCAGCGTCGACGCTGGCCTCGTCGCCCGCGATCTGGTCGAGCACGAGCACGATCCCCATGGCGAACGCCGCGTCGAAGCCGGGGCTCACCCGCAGGACGAACACGTCGCGGCCCATGACAACGCGCGCCCCCTCGTCCACCTTCCGCCTGATCTCCGCCACCACCTTGACCTTGGCCTTCTCCCCCTCGGCCCTGGGCGCCGCCACCACGCGGCAGCACCGCCGCGGGAAGGACCCGTCCACGCGGAGCAGCTCGGGGGCGGCGGCCACGGCCGGCGGCGACGAGGAGGGGAGCGGCGGCTGGAGGAGCTCGATGACGGCGCCGGCCGCGGCGCCGCCGAGGATGGACGGGCGGCGGGCCGAGAAGAGCGCCTTCTGGCCGTCGGCGCGGGCGCCGAGGAAGCCCTCCCATCGGTGGTGCAGGGACGGGCGCCGCCGGCGCACGGTGAGGAGCGGCTCCCCGGCAGGGCCGAGCAGCGCGAGCTCGCCCGCCGACGCGGCACCCCCGCCGTGGCCCCGGCCGTAGGTGTCGGCGCGGAAGGCGAGCCCGCCCGTGCGGTGGTCGTAGGCCGCGAAGCCGTCGCCGGGGAGAAGTGCGAGGTCTTGCGCACCGTCAGGACGCGTTCCTCGGGGTCGCAGTACTCCGCGCCCACGATCGCCATCCCCCTGTGCTCTGGCTACTGCTGGCTGCCCGGTGCCCGCGCACGCGCACCTGAGCCTGAGCTTGACGCCGGCCGCGCGCGCGTGCTTCGCTTCGCTTGCTTGCTTCGGCGGTTGCTGCTCTGAGCTCTCTGCGTGGCGAAGCGGAGGCTGCTCGGAGATTTTAAGTAGGGGCGAAGCGAGGGATGGCGCGGTCGGTGTGGAGATTTCAAGGCCGGGCGAGAGATGAGCACGTTGGTGTCGCAACGCCTGCCCTTTTCGGACGCCTGGACTCGGTCCTGGTGTATATTTATATGTATAATACCCTCTCCAATCCAAAGCATAAGTCGTTTATCTAAATATCTAAAGCTAAAATATATCATAATTTAGAATAGAGGTATAAGCAACCAATGATATATATATATATATATATATATATATATATATATATATATATATATATATATATATATATATATAACTCGCTATAAAATAATTTATTCTGTAGCCATTTTGAGTTACGATAATTACTATGTTAATTTACGAGATTATAGTAACTCCTTACTAAGTGGTTTACTATAACGTTAGAGTAAATATCCCCATGTATTATAGTAACCCAACTATCGTAAATATGTATTGACATTATCGTAAATTAGTATATAAAATTATCGTAAATTAGTTGGGTTACTATAAAATTATAGTAACCCAACTATCGTGTGTGTATACATACATACATATATATATATATATATATGGTATGTTTGTCACAGCTCACAACTGCTTCATGAGTTGTTGTGAGTTTTTTTTTCAAACACTCATTTCTAAAACAGTTTCATGGGTGAAGCTGTTTTTCTCCTCTCAAAGATATGAGTTGTGATGAAGCTGAAAAAATAGCTTATCCTAGATCTCTCCTCATCCATGCATGAAATTTGTTTTGCCAAAGCAGTTTTTCAAAACAACTCAAACTTCACCTAGAAAGTTGTTCATAAAGCTATTTAAAAATACAGTTTTACTAGTGAAGCTGAGCTGTGCTACAGTGATACAACTTCCACATCATCAGCTAACAGTTGTGCACAAGAATTAAACTATAAAGGTCATGTAGAAAAATTGTTATAGTAGTTTATCTATAAAATCATGTAAAAATCTATATAAAAAAGTTATAATAAAAGGTTGTGGTTATAATTATTGCATAAAATATTATACATAGGAGTTATGAGTATCATGATAGCTTTTTAAAACAAAAAATACGAGAACATTTTTAAAGGAAAGAAAAACTCGTGGAAGTTATATGACGGTTTACTAATAAGTTTTAAATTTAATTAAAATCCTTGATTAGTGGAGTCCGTATGAGCTAGCCACGCGAGTGGCGCGAACGCAGTGGACTCATCGGTCGTGTTCGGCTTTACCCCATATTCGACATTTGTTTCACTTTTTTTTTTTAAATTTGAAACAATGATTTTTCTCTTTACAATATTTCGTGAGAACAGTATTTTTCTGGCGAAGATTTCGGGAAGCCGAACAGAGCCATCGACTCGATCGAGGATGCAGCTGTGCGGCCTGGGGCTGAGGGGCTGTTGGCAGTGTGAACATTGAACACTCACGACAGTCACGAGACGTATATTGCACAAGGTGTGGGACACTGTGGGAGTGGGACTGCGGGGTGGACCGGCGGAGCCGCGGAGGCCACACCACCCGACCCGACGGCCAACAGTCGATCCAGGTTACTGTACTCCCAAAAGTCCCAGCCGCGCGCGCTCCGCCTCGGTGTCCGCGGTCAGCGGATGGTGCCGTTCACGCGCGTGCTTCATCTCGTCGTCGTCGTCGTCGGTCGGTGGACGTCTGATTCTTTCCTCGGGTGGGTCGCAGCATGTCGCCCAGCGACGGGAACGTGTGTCGTTGGGGTGGATTTGGGTGGACGGGTCAGGCTTGTCTGCCTTGCGGAAACGAGTGGATCTAAGCAAACGCCCGGGCTCACGATTTGGACTTTTGGCTCGCCGTGCCGCGGTGCTGGCACCTAACGATCGGAGTGGAAGGCCCTAACGTGGAAAACAATTGACCTTTCTCTTCTTCGTACTAGCTTGTAAATCCAAAATTAATTGATCTTGCACGCCAAAGACGCTGCACTGTGTTGGTATAGCCAGTCGAGGAGTACGAACATCAATATGCATGTTTTTATTTTTTATATACTGAGGTGGCCGCTTAAATTTCAAGTTTACGAGCCCGGGGTTATTGGTTACTTCACACTTACCTTCGGTACAGTTCGTATTTTCATTAGAACTTGGTAATAATCGCATTTGATAAAAAAATTGTTTGTCAATTGCAATCGGATCGATTATCTTCCTTCTAATTCGTCAGCACATAATCATGTCAGCATTGTTGACATACACAGCAAGTTGAGCGGAGGTCAGTAGTCTAGAAAGAGGCATTTGTTCCTTGATCAGGTTTCCAAGCGCAGATGTCATAGTACTAGAGGTAAGGTAGGGTAAGCCCAAAAGCTGACGATGGCCCCGTTCGCTTCGCTGAAAAAACAAGTCGAAACATTGTTCCGACTAATTTATCATGAGAGAAAAATACTGTTCCGACTGAAAAAACAAGCTAAAAAGTATGAATTATAAGAGAAACGAACAGAGCCGAATTACTAGCAATGGCAATGGTAACTCAATTGGCACCACAAATAAACGAATGAATCAGAGTTCTGGAAGTTGTTACTTGCGCATCTTGCCAAGTCACCAACCTCCGCAAGGCCCTGTTGAGTTCTTCTCCTAAAGTTTACTCTCTATCTCATCTACTGTTTAGACACATGCATGAAGTATTAAATATAGACAAAAATGACTAATTGCATAGTTTACGACTAATTTGTGAGACGAATCTTTTAAACCTAATTAGTTCATGATTTAACAATATGGTGCTACAGTAACACATGTGCTAGTGGTAGATTAATTAGGCTTAATAAATTCATCTCACGGATTACTGACGGATTCTGTAATTTATTTTTTTTATTAGTATCTAAACACTCATGCGATACCCCATGTGACACCTTAAAATTTTACTCTCTGGATTTAAATAAGGCCTAAGTACGTCCACCGGTCGTGTTAAACCCTTTCCACGTCGCTGACTCAGCAGCCGGCGCACGTCAAACACGTCGCCGTCAGGAGGGATTGGGATCGGAAGGAAGAAGCTTCTTCATTCCCAACGCCGCGGACATGCATGCAGCCCCGGAAATATCCTGTTCCCGTCATCCCGTGGCGTGGGCGAGAATCTAGTGAAGCGGTAGCATGGACACAGGACACAGAACTGAACACGGACGACGGGCCTGTTCGTTCAGTATCAAGCAAGCTTGCATCGCAATGGTACAGCGCGTGCTTCGTCGTCAGGAAGCTAAGAAGCGTTGCCGCTCGGCCGGTCGCCAGATGGCAGCGAGCCACCACTCACCGTGCCATTAGTGGAGAGTGGAAACGTGTGGGCGGCGGTAGGGGTGGCCCGCGGTCGCCTCGACCGTGGATGTATGCGTCAAACAAACGCCCGGTTTGACGTTTTGGTTCAGTGTACCGTGGCGCTGGCACCCACCCCGGTGAAACGTCCTTGTACACGGGGAAAGATCGATGTTAACCTCGCATTGCCAAAGACGTGTCGCTGTGGGCTTACCTCTGCAAGCAACAGTGTCCCCGCTTATCGACTTGGAAGTGCTTCTATTTCTAGCTAGCTATATAAGCTTAGGCACTAGGCAGCAGAGCACTTCTTTTTGTTCACCGTTTCTTCGTTCACCAAAATTACCGAAAAGCATAAGGCAGCCGCACGGAGTACTACTTGTGTCGTTTAGACGCTCAATTAGGTCACACATTCGATAAGGGGTTAGAACGCTCGATACAGGGTCTAGCTGACTTTGAGATCGATTGACGCCTAGGAGATGTCCACACCTGGACTTTATGCCTCCAGCGATAAACGCGATACGCAAGACACGTCGGCGAGGTCTCTTGAGAGACCCGAAACCCCATACGCCTGGGAGGGACCCCGTTGGGGCATGCAACGGCTATGGGCTGCTCTAGCCGGCCTAGCCGCTCTATAGCTTCGCCGTCGTCGATTCACTGTCCATGCAGCGCCGACGAAGAACGGGGAGAAGTAGAGGGGAAGAGGGAGGAAGAGAGGTAGTAGATTGGTTTTTTGGTAAGATTATGTGTGTTGGACACCTCAATCGCCCGTGGACCTTATATTTATAAAGTGGGAGTGGCTTATCCCTCAAGGAGCTGAAACCCCTTCCAAATCATGTCAAAACGCATCTAAATATGTCCTGGACCTGATAAAGTCGGCTAAACCGACTCCCGAGTCGGCTAGGCCGATTTCCACGGGCCCGGGGTACTATTTTCGGGCTGAAAACAAGCAGAGTCAGCTTAGCCGACTAGGTGAGTTGGCTAAGCTGACTTGGCTCTGGGAATTTCAGGTGAAAAGCTTCCAAAATTTATAATTAATTTATCCGGACTCCAAACGAGGCGAACCATATATGTTTTTCGATCAGCTTGACGAAGTTGGTCGACTTAGGGAGTCGGCTAAGCCGACTCCGGTTGGATCAGGCCCGAAAAAGCTCTTTTCTTCACCCGAGTTTCAAATGCGATGATTAAGTATCATTTCTGGCCATCTTGACGATAGAAAGATGGTGGATGAGTTCATTATGCACTTTGGACACTTTTGAGTGTCAACAGTGTCGAATCAAAAGTTTGAAGTGACAGTTTGACACAGACAGTAAAACTAAAACCCAATCAAGGTCATGTTTAGTTCGTCCAGAATCCAAAATTTGGCACTATGCAAAAAGAAGATTCTCCGTCACATCAAACTTGCGATATATGTATGGAGTACTAAATGTTGACGAAATAAAAAACTAAGTACACAGTTTGGTTGTACTTTGCAAGACGAACGTTTTGAGCCTAATTAGTCAACGATTAGACAATTATTACCAAATACAAACGAAATGCTACAGTGCACTACAGTTCCTGCAGATTTCAGGCGGCGCCAACTTTGCCAGCAACTAAACGCGGCCCAAGAGTAATACAGTACTAATACATGGGTTAACGAGAAAACAAGCAGCCTGATCGCTGGGCTGGGGCTGACTGGACTGGCTGGCCAGCCCTCTCACATGGCTACTATTTACGCGAACCAGTTAGTAATACTTCTCTTTCACATAAACGAACCAGCAACGATATAAACCAGCCAACCGAACAGACTGAAGAAGCATCGGCGAGCTAAATTAACCAGGGTTCGGTTCGGCTCACCAAACCTGTGCTCCCCGGTTCGGCGACACCAGCATCACGCTAGGGACCCCAATTCCGCGTGCCTGAAGCAGCAGGTTGCCGGCCGGTTCACGTCAGTCAAACACGTCCCGGTCGTGACTCGCGACTTGCAGTTTTGGAAATATCCCGGCGTCCACGTCAGTCAACACACGTCCCAACGCAAGCTACCCTGCGCGACACGTTTGCTGCGAGGGAGTCCAGAGTGGAGGACACGACACGAAGGCAGGTGCGCCGCCGTATCTTGGGCAAATCGTCCGTCCGCCCTCGTGCTCCGGAATTCACGGCGGGGCGGGGAGCCGAGCCGGTACGACAGATACGGCCGGCGGCGGAGAAAACGGGTCGGGCTAGGACCTACCGGGACGACGACGAAACCACTGAACTCCGGTAACTTTATCCGTGGTTTATAAATCGACTGATATTGTTTTGTTACGAAACAAAAACACTATATGATAAACCTGGCTGATAAGCGAACAGGGTGTAGACCATACGGATGCCCCGTTCGATCTGGATTGGATGTGCTGGCCGAGTAGTACTGTAGTAGCACAAGCGCAGCAGGTAAAAAGCAAAGATTACGATGGATCAACGGTTGATCATCAACTACTACAGTACCACTACTAGATGACTCGACGCAGGTGTTGGAATTGTTGAGATCGTGCAGTTTTTTTTTACATGTCAACCAACAAGTTAAAAAGGACAAATGGTCCAATCAATTGTGAACTGATCAGACGAAATTTCAGAACGTGTTTACACATATTTTTTACTAAAAAATGAGGGACGCGCATAAAATTACAGATGCGTACAATGAATTCGATTTGTTATAGGAAAATGCTGATTCAATCTGCAACCGCCTAGATAATTAATTGACAGGGGCCCGCGGAAAAACGAACCGAATCAGATCAGGCGGCGATCAGAGCAACAGAAGGTGAGCGTCATTTTCGAAATTGCAGTTGACTCGAACCATTCACCTGATAGCACGTGACGGGGATCTCCACCATTGGTGCAGCGGGATGAGCCTCCTGCCTACCGCCCTCGGCCGCCACCGGCGCGGCCTCGGCCACCCTGGCACGCAGGGCCGGCCCTCGGCCACCGCCGGCAAGTCGTCCACCCGCCGCCAAGGAGGAGGCTGTTGCTGGTGGTGGTGGGAGGAGGCTGCGGCAGCGAAGGCACGGGGTTTCACTGTCGCGGCAAGGGGAGGACGCCGTCCGGCAGCTGGTGGGCGCGGGCGGAGCGGCATTGCGGCCACACCATCGGCTCCGTTGTGCGGGCGGGGCAGACGGCCAACACGGGGCATGGCCTGTTAAGACAGGGCACAAGCCCGGCCCAGCCTGGCTTAGGTATTTCGTGTCCCAAATTAGGCCCCGTTTGGCCAGGCTCCCACGTGCTCCGGCTCCGGAGCCGCGGGAGAAAAAAAAAACGAGCTTCTCTGGCTTTGGTGGTGTCAGTGAGAGAGGAAAGGAGGAGAGAGAAAAACGGCTTCGGTGAATAGTGCAGCTGCAGTGATTCGGCAGCAGGAGCCGGAGCTGCCCAGAGCCCAGCCAAACGGCTGGAGCCACGGGAGAAAAAAAATGAGCTTCTCCGGCTCCGATGGTGTTAGTGAGAGAAAAGGAGAAAAGAGAAAAACGGCTTCGGTGAATAGTACAGCTGCAGTGATTCGGCAGCGGGAGCCGGAGCTGCCCAGAGCCCGGCCAAACGGGGCCTAAGTGGGATTCAGTAGGCAGTATATCAATAACCCTCGGTAATTTCACATAAAAGATTTCAACTTGGTGGATGAATGGGCATCACCTATAGGAACATTGACTCAGAATCAAACAAAGCTTGCATTAGAATGAAAACTAGATTGCCACCATCAACACAGTTCTTCTGTATTAGTACATTATGGTGAAGGTTCCAGAAAGAAAGGTAATGGACATATTGCAGAGGTTCAGTCATCATCGACAAAAAGGATGGAACCATTGGGTCGATCCAAAACTGGATCTCTGTTCATCTGGCAGCAGCCATCTAAAGATCCATCGAATGAAGGAACCAAGAATCATCTTACAACATGCAACTAGGCAGCAACAGCTACGTCTACTTTGGGGGCATCTTGTAGTTTCTTCTGTGATTCTTTTATGTACTTCCACCCACGCTTGTTAACCCCGCTGATCCTAGTTGGGGCGTCTGCAGCTTGCACACCTACAAGAGAATCTGATTAGGAGACATGACTTTTTATGAGCTAATATAAGATGCATTTTTCGTTTCCAAGTGTAACTCTGAAAGGCGTCAACAATGAATGCTTCTGTCAAACAGCCAGACAGGATAGGCTTGAGGGGAAATCAGTCAAGACAACATGAATTTAGTATTCATTAAGACACTTCGACAAACAGCAGGTGAACTAAGCCGAAACACTGTTCCGGCTGATTTGTTGTGAGAGAAAAATACTGTTCCGGCTGAAAAAACAAGCTGAAAAGTACGGATTATAAGAGAAACGAACAGGGCATAAGAAGCATACGTTAGAACCTTTTGAACAAAATGCAAAACTAACTGCTATATGTAAACAAAAATACATGCATCTGTCCTTCGGATATTTTGAAAGATGCCTTTATATCCTTGTATTATTGCAAAAGAAATTACATGAAATTTAATATGCTGTAGGAATAATATCATTCATGCACAGAAGAAATTACAGAACAATTAACTAAAGATACAGGACACTGGCTGTTGCACACAAACACGTACATAGCAAAAGTGGACTTACATGCTACAAGCAAATCAATAAAATATTTGAGACTCGATACTTGTATGCCTGTTGATAGATCTTAGAAATTGCAGACAAATGTAGTACTCAAATGATTAATTCAGGATGAAAACATTAGACTGGCTCGAGAGTAATCCCTGGTTTCACACCTCAATTAGTTTTTTTTTATGTTGAACCTAACAACTCATTTATCTCTCGCCTCATAAGTGAACCTGTGGTCAAGATGTAATACTCTGGAACTGCTTTCTTCTTGAGAGAATAAATAGTTCCTCATATTTAGCCAACCATCAACCCTTCAATTTTGGCACTTGGACACTCGGTAACTTTTATGTGTAAAACTATATAAACTCTTTTTTAACATATTATTTGAAAATTCCATCGCATGCTATTTCTATTGATAGGTGCCTTCATACAATTACAATTTGCTGACATCTGGTATTTTTCTCTTGATATGGCAGGAGATAGAATCAATGTCCACATTGTCCACCTGCTAGTGTTATTCCTTACAGTTCTGCAAATCATGTCCCAAAAAGTCTTGATAGAAACAATGCTAGCCTTCTCCATGCATCAAATGATCAACTTAAGTGGTATGTTCATCTTCATTAATTGTGTTGAGAAACATGATTGCCAAATCGTGAGACCAGGCCCACCACCTTGACAAAGTCATCTCGAAATTACAACAATGGTATATTCAAATCAGTTTGATTTGTGGGACTGAGATGTATGAGACCTTGGAGTTGAGGGATGGAGGGTCTGATTATCTTGGCAAAGGTGTTCTTAGGATGTGTCCTACCAGGCATTTTTTCCATTCACTGCACATGTATTATACCTGATATGCACTAGACGTGCATTGTAATATAATGTAGTATATTTAAGCTTTAATAACCCAAAGTCGATCCTAAGGTCGTTCAGTCGAGCTGGTTTCATATGGTTAATCTATATGAAACCACTATGTGCCGTATTTGTGATAAAAATGGTCTAGAAAATATATTTGAAGTATTTTCGCTAGGTAGTTTGTGGCTTAAATTTCTTTCAAAGAAAACCTGAATTAGTGGTTGCAACCATTATATATCTTGCTCCTCCTTTATGTGAATCAAGAGCTTTGCTCAAATGCACTGAAGTGAGATATAATACTTTTACTTATTTCTGATTTTTTTTCTGCTTCTTTATTGGATTCTACTTTGTAGATCAATTTACAGTCTTGTGACAAGAATAATGCTATTTGATAATTTGTTTTTGGTGAGCAAGCAAGAACCTGATCAGGAATTTCACCTATAACTTCGACTTTTACTTGAACAGAAGCTAATTATTGTCCTTTTTTTGTGTGTGTCTTAGGGCAAATGTACAGACCTACGACTGCTACCAAAGAAACAAAGGACTTTACTAAATTCTTAGAAGGCCCCAGTTGGAGCTCCTACTGATTGCAAAAGTAAAAAGGGTCAAGATATAACATTGCAAAAAGTCAAGGATTTTAGGAGATGGCATTGTGGCATTGATTTCAACAGAGTTAGATTGCATATTGTGCTATAAATGATATTCACAAACTATCTAATAAGTACTAGAGATCCACATATGAGAAAGATGTGGAGCTCAGGCGTTAATTGATTTTTATGTGTGGATTAGATTGTGGCTGTATTTGTTGTTATACCATCATTAACCATGTGTATGGATCAACAACATTTTTATATGATTTTGAGATTGATTTCTCAAAAGTTTCATTGTCAATTTGCCATTCCTCTATTGTGTATGATTTTTTATAGACGCATGTGTCATGTCTACTAGTAAGGAACAAAGTATGCAGAGAAGGGGTAAATACTAACCTGCCTTGTACCGAATCCCCCACTACTTTCCATGCCGACCGTCCTACATTGCAAAACAAATCGATTGGAATGAAAACAAAGGGAGAAAAAACAATGGAAGCACGCAAGGAGAGGGTTCAGGGGATTGGATCACCTTGTACAGGTTGATCTTGGTGATCTGATAGGAGACGTCGCGCCAGGTGGTCTTGGCAACCTTGTATCCGATGCCCCACTCCGGCAGGAACTGCGCCACGTCAAACAGATTCTTCTTCTTCCTCCTCTTCGCCTCCTTCGCCGTCGCCTCAGCCACCACCGCACCCTCCACCATTGGTGTAGCAGTGGTACTCAGGGCTCTCTGTGCCGGCGGCGCTGTAAACCCAATGAAGCGCCGAAGCAGGCACATCGCATGCTGCGCCATGGTCGCCGCAGCGGCCGGGCGCCGTCGACGGTCCAGCGGAGGCGGGAGGGGAGAGGGAGGTGCGTACGCAGGGTCGCCGGCCGGTGTGCGGAGGACGGAGGCGAGGGCGCGAGGCGACTGGCGAGAGGCAGGAGGGGGAGCCGCTGACGCCGCCGCCGAGCCTGGGACTGCTTCGCCATCGCTGAGAGCCCGAGCCTGAGCGCCGCCTCCGTCCCCTTCGTGCCGATACCAGAATACAACACCCATTTCGCTAGTGCTATAGCTAAAAGGTTTCGTATCTATTTTTGTTTTCTTCAATAATAAAACTAAAAAATTATTTCTATAAATAAGTCTTAAAAAAAAGATATACTCATATTTAAATTATATCTTTGCTGTAACCCAAAATAGATCTCGCATATAATTACTCTATTAAAGGCTGATAAAATACCATCCGAGACCCATTTAAGATACGAGTGTCTATACGGGGCATCCATCAGGAACAGTCTCAGGTAAAGACTACGTGGTGGGTTTGCGTTGAATTAATGGGCTTTTAGATGGGCCACTAAATAAAAGCCCATACCATCTTTTTTTCCCCTTTTTCTTTTTGATTTCTTTTTTCTTTCTAACATCTTTTGATTGTTCGCATAAACGGTCATTTAGTCCATTTACACACTGTTTAAACCTTACATAGTAGTATATCATTTCTGTTTAATCGGTTGCTTTTACCGTTTAAACGGGCGTTTTGACCATTTAAACACTCGTTTTGTCTAAATAATAGGCTAAACGGTTGATCACCGACTGTTTACCATTTAGGATAACATCGCTTTTGACAACTCAACACATAATCTATATCTATCTATATTATCTATATATCTGCAATAACATATTTACCTGTGATTTCGTGAAGCCACATCAATCTCCATTATCCTCTATAGATCCCCATGTATTTGTAATTAAATTCCTTGCTCCACCAGAAGACATCCGATTTGAAAATTTAAAACTTTCATTGCATCACAAATAAGTTACAGACAAGTTACAGAGATGGGGATCATGTTACCCCATTCGAAGTTTTCTAGCACATGCTTGATATTACATGTTGCAGAGTAAGCAAGTGCCTGGCAGGAGAAAAGGCACGAAGTCGGAATACTTGCCCGTCTTGCCCTTTTTGCCAAAGCATCAGCTATCTTATTTCTTTGTCTATCAATTTTGATCACCGACTAGCATTTTGCTTGCTTGATGTCCTGCACTTAAGCAATAATAGGACGCAACGACCAATGTCCAGGATGAGAACGTAGCGATCCAGCAAGCACGGCGGAGACCACCACCTGATTATCAGTTAGCAAAGCTACATCTCGAAGATGCAATGCCGCAACTAGCTTGGCACAAAAAGGAGGGCGTGAGCTTCAGCCTCCAAGGGTTCCAAGATCTGCGCAGTCGCTACCTGAATAAAAGAAGCATGGGAAATACTTCTAGCAGGTTGAGTGAGGATGAGAACTCCAATTCCAGTTTGATTGCCTGCAACTAGATTTTGAGAGTCAACAGAAGCATCACAAAAAAAAATTAGGGTCTTCATGAACCTGCAAGGTAGCAAAAATGAGGAGCCTCTACAACGGCAGGAGTTGTAGTAGCCTGTGGAGTAGGCCCAGACATAGTATCATCTTGAAATGCAAGATTGTAAGCCCCATCAATGGCCTTTGCCTCTTGCAGCACACTTGCAACCGACCAATTTATCCTATTAAATCTGTGGTCATTACGAGCTTTCTACAAACACCACATGATGGAGAAAATTATACTTGTGGTAGTTTGAGATGGCCCTTGCTGTAATATGGTAGCAATCTGAGAATGAAGCCCATGGCCTGTCGGGGGTAAGGCATCAGATCTAAGGCCAATAGGTGAAGCAAACCATACCACTCAAGCGAAGCTGCAATCAAAGAAAAAATGTTTGTCGTCTTCGGGCCTCCCACAACGAGAGCAATTCTCATCAACTGTCGAAATAATCCTGTGGATCCTGCAAGCTGTCCCAAGGGCGAGTCTAAGCAGCCGCCATGCGAAAGTTTTGACACGAGGCTGAATTGTTTTATCTGCCCATACGTGTCTAAGAATCTGCAACACCTGCATAGGAATGTTAGATGGCGGGTTTCTTGCTGCCTCCTCTATCGCTAGCATTTTATAGGCGCTTTTTGTTGAGCATATGTCGCTAGTGGCTTCCAACATAAAATATCAGGCCCACTCCCATGATGAGAGGGATCTGCAAAAGAACCTGCAAAGTATTTTAACCAAAGAGCGCTATAATCTTATTTCTGTCCCATTTTTTACAGATTAGGAGCCAAAGATCAAAGACCTTATCTGGGATTTGGTAATTAGATTGTTTAAGGTTTAAACGATCATGCATCTCCTTCCATATGGGACACCAAGGTTGAAACCAAATGGAGGTATTGCCATTAACAAATTGGATGTGACATTTTGTTCAAGGTGGTGTCTAATGCTTAGGATAGAAGACCAGAAAGTAGATTTTGGAGAATAGGAAGGAGCAGTCCAAAGAGAACGACCATAAGGGAAATATTTTGCTTTAATGATTTTGGCCACAATTGAATTAGGATTATGGACTAGCCTCCATGCCGTATTGATAAGCATAACTTTGTTGACTAATTCCAACTTTCTAATTCCTAGACCACCCTCATTTTTTGGCTTGCAAATTGTCCCCCATGATCTGTAGTGGATGGGCTTCCTTTGTTGCTCTTTCTATACCCCTTGCCACCAAAATGTCCTGATAATTGCTGTGATCTTGGCTAAAAATTTCTTAGAAAACAAGATATTAGCCATATAATAAATTAGAATAGAAGCAAACACTGATTGTATCAAAGTTAAACGCCCAACATGGCTCAAAGTACCGGAAGTTCCCGGATTCGAGTCGCAGTCTCCTCGCATTGCACAGGCGAGGATAAGGCTTGCCACTGACACCCTTCCCTGCACCACGCACAGTGGGAGAGCCCCTGCACTTGTACGCCCTTTTTTTAGAGTGAGCCTAGATCTGAATTTTTGATAAATAAAATCATAGACTTTATTTTTGTCTCTATGACTAATAAGTAAAGGATGTCCAAGGTGCATAGTATTGTGGTTGAAATCAGCAACAGGAAAAACAGCCTTGATCTGAGCTCTAATAGTGTGGCTCACCTTTTTGCTAAAAGAATAGATGATTTGGACCAGTTCAGAGTTTGACTTGACATAGCACAAAAGTTCTGAAGGATACTATTTATTTCATGTATTTCCTGCAAATCAGCCTTGCGACAAATGATGAGATCATCAGCAAACAGAACAGAGTGGATAGGGGGGGCATCCTGGTCCTAACATGACACCTGTAAGATTTGCATTGTCCAATGCTTCGTGCAATCTCAAAGAAAACTCATTTATAGCAATGACAAACAAGTATGGTGACAATGGGCATCCCTGTCTAATTCCTCTTGTCGCCTAGAAATTCCCATACGTTTCTCCATTGACGTCTGAAAAGCAAGCGGAAGAGATGCATGCATGCACAAGTTTGATGAAGTGACCATGGTACCCTTTTATCGAAATGCATTAAGAATAAAGGACCATTCGATTCTATCAAAAGCTTTTGCTAAATCAATTTTTAACATAAAAGCATGTTGATTAAAGGATTTGAGATTGAAAGAATGAACAATTTCTTGAGTAATAATAATGTTCTCAGTAATTCTTCTACCCTGAATGAAGGCATGCTGGGATTGGTGGATGTATTCTGGTAGCTCTTCTTTCAGCCTATTTGCTAAAGATTTTGCAATGAGCCTGTAAACTATATTTGTGAGGCTAATGGGTCTGAAGTCAGTGACCAGGTTTGCATGGGTCTTTTTGGAATAAGAACAATTTCAGTGGCATTAAGCGAAGCATATAACTTATCGTTACTATAGAAGTCAGTGATCAATTTATGAATATTATTCTTGATCCAAAGCCAGGCAGCCCTATAGAAAGCAACATTGAATCCATCTAGGCCAGGAGCAGCATTTAGCCTCATGCTCTTCAAAATCTGCAAGCACTCATTAACACTTGGCACTGAGTTAGTGAAATCATTAGTTATTGTGCCCTCGTAATTGAAATTAAAATCCAACCTTGGTATTGACGAAGTAAAGAGATTAGTGAAATAAGATATGAATTCATTTGCAATATCAAAAGGCCTAGACACCATGTTGTTTTCTCCTCTACTAATGAAAAGAATTCCATTTTTATGTCGTCTCCTGGTACAAGCTTGCTGAAAAAACCTGGTGTTTCTATCGCCCTCAGTAGCCCAATGCTTCTTAGATAATTGCCTATAATGCTCAGTGATTTTGTCTAAGATCAAATTATGTTGTTGGATCAAAGTTTCATCTTTAGCATGATCTATAAGATCAGGAGGAGCTTGCTGCAAGATAGAAAGGTCATTTTCAACATCAGATAGTTGTTGGTTGAGAGGTTTTTGCTTCCTTACCCACTTCTTAATAGTGCAAGCCATTTTTATAATCTGCATATGAAAAGGCTTACCATTTGTCTGTTTCCATGCTTGAAGAGCCGTCTCATGAAAATCATTATCAGTCAACCATCAATTCTGAAATTTAAATCTCCATTTCGGCTTGGCGCGGTTCGGGTTCATGATAGCTAAAATAGGAGTACGATCGCTGTATAACATAGGCAAGTGGTACACAACAGTAAAAGGAAACACTCTATACCACTCAGCATCACCAAGGCATCTATCTAAATGTTCAAAAGTTGGATTAGTAGTGAAACGCTTATTTGTCCAAGTATATGCAGGACCACTGAATCCAAGATCCATCAAACCACATTGCTTAATAAGAGAACAAAAGTTATCAATTTGAGCCAGAGAAGGAGGACCATATCTCCAATTTTCATTTGGATGCATTATATTATTAAGATCTTCCATGCATAAAGTTGGAGTTCCTTGATTTTGCATTATAAAAGAGAAGACATCACTCCAAATTGAATTTGTATGTTGATGATGGGGATCGCCATACATA